GCTCACGGCAAGTGGTCAGATAATTGGCGCATTAATTCCAGTTGGGCTTAGCGGGCCCATGCTGGACGAGTGATGAAAGGCCCACCGTTCGGTACAGTGGCCCTGACTGGCAAAAGATTCTTCTAGTACCTCAATGTGAGCACTCATCATAAGTTCTTGCTTCCCTCAACTGTCAGAGAGCCTCGACCAACGCAAGAGACCCTCTGCCATTCGGGCTCTCGTCCCCGTCCATGTTGAACAAATCTTCCTCCGACCGATTCAAGGCCCCTTGTTAATACAGAATGCCCTGTGGGCTTAGGCACTGTGGGCTCCTGAACGATACAGGAGCCCGACTGATATAAATCGCGGGCCTGCCCTTGTCCTTGCTTGGGAAATGCGCCCCAAAAGGCCAGCCAAACACGGAGACGATTGTTCCTTGTCCGTGATGTCTGGCCGAAATAGAGGAACGCTCTGTCTTAGGGCCCCCATCGGTGCAAGAGATCATCTTACTGACATTTGAGATCACAGACCTATGGTGGGGGTTCTTAATGTGACCTACACCTAGCCCTTCGGATCCTTCAGCCGCCCCATTGGGCCCTTGATCTTTGGTCTCGGGATACCCTTCGGCCCCTCTTCGGGCCTCCTCAAACACTGCTCCGGCTCGGGGCCACTTGCCGCCACAGGACCCCTGTTTAGCCCTGTGGCCCCTAACCGACACAGGAGCTCCTCATTGTGTCAGGGACCCTGAACATTGTAAATCGCGGGCCCCGGTCTCTTTTCTGCTTGGGAAATGGGTCTCGAGGGCCCAGACGGACATGGAGCCGACTGTTCGGCGTTTGTGTTCTCTGGCCGACTTACACACCCGCATTGTCTCAGGGGTTCCAAAAACGCTGCAAGAGGACTGCTGACTGATATTTTAGGTCACGACCCTACGGGCCACGATTCTGCATGTGACCTACAGCCAATCTTTCGTGCCCTCACGCCCTACAACCCGACTTTTAATGGTCGGTTCCGATGGGTCGTCCGGGTCCCTCTTCGGACCTCCCCAAACACTTTCCTTGGTCGTCTCAGGGTCCCTGCGAGCACAGGAACCTCTGTTAGGCGCTGTGGGCCCCTGACGGATACAAGGCCTCCGACCAGTGTAATCACTGGCCCCTGGTTTATAGCTGATTGGGAAGTGGGTCTTCAGGCCCATACCGACACGGAAACGGTTATGTGATACCGTGGTACCTGACCGACATAGAAGCCCATATCGACTCAGCGGGCCCCCGATCGGTGCAAACGGCCCTCTGGCCGTTGTTTGAGGGTCCGGCTTTGCAGGTCTGACACCTGAATAAGATTCCGGCTAGCCCTTTATGCCCTTAAACCCTCTAATCGGGCCTTTGATAACACAGGGCCCCTTGACAACACAGGGCCCTTGTTAGGCGCAGCAGGGCCCGAGCAATGTAAATCGCTGGCTCCGGCTTTGTCCCTGCTTGGGAAATAGGCCTTGTATCCTTAAGCCCATGCGGCCACGGAGCCGACTGTGTGTTACTGTTGGCATCTGACCGAAATATAGGCCCTGATCGACTAAGTGGGCCCGTGATCAGCGCGCAAAACCCTCTGGCTGGCATTTGGGTGCCCTGCCTTACGGGCCGGAGCCCGTGAATGAGACCTCTGGCTGACGTTTCGCAGGCAATTAATCGTAGGCTCCAAGGGGTTCTTCGGGCCCCTCGGAACTTAGAGGGGCACGTGCCCCCTGTCCCCTCCCCTACCTGCGCTACTAGCAGTACCTTGATGTTGCGGTGCGGCATCGCAGACTTGTGGGAAGTGTATTCGCGCCCAGTGAAAAGTCTGAGCCAGGGACGGCCAGCAGAATAGCTTCCAACGTTCTCGCGAGTATCAAACGCGCCAGTCATCGGCGAAAAATGCTATGCAAATTTTGAGGGTAGTCCGGAAGCCAGCGGGTGTCCACGCCTGTACAAGAGACGCGGATTCTGACATCATCCACGCAGCCTGTTTGCACTGCGGGAGGCCTGAGTGATGCCCGTCCACCCAGCACAGTTCCTCAGAGCCTGAATTAGCACATCCTGTTCGTGATGACCCCTGCACCGGGGCCAAGGCCGGGTGAAAATTCGCACGTCTGGAGTTGACGGCGGGACTTAGGAATTAGCATGACTACGCGCTGTCACCTCTATGCACTTTTCCGGCCGAACCACGCGCAAATAATATCTTACTGAGTCCGGAGATCTATCTCGTCGACGCAAATTACAGCCAATGTGTTGTCCAACCCACTGAGTAACTGTACTCGCCCAGGAGCGACCGCTCGGCACGCCACTGCCCATTCCCAGCAAGCCGGGGTTTCCAGCACGCTGTGCCGCGTTAAAAACAGCCCACGACGTACAGAACCCGATCACTCGGTGGCGAAGGCGGTGCGGCGCAGGTGTGGCTCGACGCGTGATCATGCTGACCCGGACGCCGCTCATCTGGGCGGTGGTCTGCTCGACCGCGGCCGCCTGGGGGGACGACCCCTGGCCGGCGGCGGGCCAGGGCCGGCCTGGCGGACGTCAGCCGGGCTACAGTGACCCGTGGCCGAACACAGCGCCAGGCGGCGGCCGAGCGCCGGGAGGCGGCCAGGCGCGGCGCGACGGCGGTCCAGTGTCTTACGACAACTCCCGCGGCGACCACTGGTGGGCGCAACCGGGCGACAACGCCTTCGACAGGCCCAGCGCCTACCCGACGAGCCCCGGCCGGGGCGCGGCCGCCCCGCCCGAGCGCTGGGGGCAAGGCGGCGGTGGGGCCAGCGCAGCTGCCTGCGCCGGCGGCCGCGGGGCAGACTGCACCGGCGGCGGACGGGCGCCGACCTCCCGGTACAGCCCGCCCGGCGCGACGCCGCCGGGAGGATCCCGTCGCGTCATCATCTCCGTCGACTCGCTGCGGAGGGGCCCGGCCGCCGTGCGCGCCGACGCCACGTTCACCAGCGGCGACGGGCCGGCGGCGCGCGGCCCGGCTCCCTCTCCGGTCAACCCGGGTCAGCCCGCAGCGCGTGGCTCGGATGCCGACTATCCAACGTCCAGTCAACACTTCTCCCGAGGTGCCACACGGCCAAGCTCGCTGGGAAGACCCGCTTCCAGGCCTGGACAAAACTCCGGCTCCAGCCCCGGACAGTATGCCGGCTCCCCAGCAGCAAGCTCAGCCGCGCGGCCAGGACAGCATTCTTCCGCTTCAGGCCCCAGACAGCAATCTCGCCTACGTCCAGGGCAGCAAGTCGGTTCTGCGGCACCGGGGTCGCCAAGAACACCCGGACAATATTCCCCTGACTCCAACAGTGGACAGCGCACTGGCTCCACTGCCCCAAGCGGCGGCAGGCCAGCGGCGCGCGGTCCGGCGCCCGCTACGGTCAATTCGGGTCAGCCCGCAGCGCGTGGCTCGGATGCCGACTATCCAACGTCCAGTCAACACTTCTCCCGAGGTGCCACACGGCCAAGCTCGCTGGGAAGACCCGCTTCCAGGCCTGGACAAAACTCCGGCTCCAGCCCCGAACAGTATGCCGGCTCCCCAGCAACAAGCTCAGGCGCGCGGCCAGAACAGCATTCCTCCGCTTCAGGCCCCAGACAGCAATCTGGCCCAAGTTCAGGGCCGCACGTCGGTTCTGCAGCACCGGGGTCGCCAAGAACACCCGGACAATATTCCACTGACTCCAACAACGGACAGCGCGCCGGCTCCAGCCCCAGACAGCACTCAAACTCCAGCCCTAGACAGCGCGCCGGCTCCAGCCCCAGACAGCAAGCAAGCTCCAGCCCTAGACAGTACGCCGGCTCCGGCCCCAGATGGCCCTCCGGTCCTTCGGCGTCAGACCCGCAAGGGAGGCTTGGACAATACCCCAGCCCCAATCCCGGACAGTACTCCGGTCTACCGGCGTCAGGATCGCAGGGAAAACCCAGACAGTACTCTAGTTCCAGCCCCAGACGGTACTCTGGTCCATCGTCGTCAGGTTCACAAGGGAAACCCGGACAGTATTCCAGCCCTTCGGTACCAGGCTCACAGGGGAGGCCTGGGCAGTACTCTGGCTCCAATCCAGGACAGCGCGCCGGATCCGGTCCTGGACAGTACTCCAGCTCCAGCCCAAGGCGGTACCCTGGCTCGTCAGTTCCAGGATCACAAAGTACACGTGGGCCATATAGAAACTCAAACCCCGGTCAGTACTCCGGATCCAATCCTGGCCGGTACTCAGGGTCCAGTGACGGCCAGTACCCCGGCTCCAATCCTGGCCGGTACCCAGGGTCCAGTCCCGGTCAGTACTCCGGGTCTTCAGCTTCCGGCTCCCCAGGTGGACCTGCCTCCGGTCAGTACTCCCGGTCCCCGCCGGGCGGCGCCGTCGGTGCCGAGGGTCCGGTGGTGCGGGAGTGCAGCGCTTCCCTCTACTGCGTCGCCAATGCCGAGTGTGACCCCTACACCGGCTTCCTCATGGATCCGGCGGAGGGCCCCATCCCCGAGCTCGACCTGCCCCAAGTCGCCTTCACGCGTTGCTACATGAAGCAGAGCCGCTCTGTCGGAGTCTGCTGCCAGGAACCGCATGTTAACGACCCCTGGACGGACCGCACCACGAACGGCCGCTAGGTGGCCAGCTGTGCACGAAAATGCCGCCGTTACATGGCAGCTGCAGGAGGCACGCCCCGCAGGCAGACGGCTCTCAGCTGACGGAGGAAAAGAGCTAGCTCCATGCGTGCGCGTGCCAGTAGCCAGAACATGTGCTTGAATGCTTGCATATTGTGAAAATGTCGCGTTTTCTTCCCCACGTAGGCTCGCGTCAATGTGGGGCGACGTAACGCCTATGTCACGCATCATCGTGTGTGGACTCTGTGGGCATAACATTGTGTTAGCATGATTCTGCTTTCAACGTGAATATAGTTTAACTGTTGGTTGTTCAGTGCTTTGGGCACTAGATGAAGTGCACTAGATGTTCTCGCAGGAGTTTTCGAATGTCCTCAGCATTCACACCCATCGGCATTGGCAGTCAACGCGATACAAAAAAGGCGCACCTCGTCGGTGGTTTCAACCGTAAATATGAATATATATTCAGTTTTTTGCACAATTAAGATGACACCTGAATACATTTACATCACATGGCAGAAAACATTACTGGGGGCCAATATTCGGTTCCTCAAACAGATGGGACGTGCCAGCAGGTATCCCACAAATGATCCGATCAGCGTCATTGTCAGACGATGGCAAATAACTCCCAACCTGATGCAAAGCCACGCATTGAACTTTCACGCTGACTGAACAAAACCTGAATCCCGCCGTGGTTTCACCCACTGAACATAACAAACAATGCACACGGAGGGCATTCATTGTCGGGAACACAAACAAAGTACAACTGAAATCACCGAGATACAAATGAAATCACAAACAGCCCGTCGCGCAGGGAACAGACGCGATCGGGTATGGCGCGCACACGAACCATGGGAGCGCGGCCCAACGTCTTACGCCCACTGGACCGGTCGCTGTTCCCTGTCCGCCGCTTCTGCCCTTCATACAACACAATGACGAACTTCCCACACGCACCACCATCGCCGATGATAGTGTAACGCCACTGCCGGTGCAGCTTTCACCATTATCCATACCTTGTCACACCCCATCCTCGCCGCTACCGGTATGTTCCACTGAACACGGCACAAGTGGAGCGCCCGCCATTGCCAGCACCAGCGTAACGTTCTGCGGCCACCGGTACTTCCCGCTGCAGCGTCCCACCACTGCCGGAACCGGTGCAGCATCTCCACTGCCGCCCGCACCAGCGACGTGGTCTGCTACCGCCGGTACATGTTTAGTGATCGCAGCGGGCTTTATTTTTGTATAAGAACTGATCCAAGTTGTTTAATGTATGCTGTCTCTTCCACTATGTTGCAACGCAGCACACGTCCCAGCGCAGACGGAATGGGAAAATGTTTGCCAGTCGCCGACGCGCCCTACCGCCAGCAACAGGATATCTTCAATACACGTGCACCATGCCGAAAAGGAAAACCCAGAAGAGGACGTAGGTGAACATGCCGGAGAAGAGGCCGCCCGTCAGCAATGACCTCCGACTGACGAAAAACCGGTTCCACGACATACCGGCTTTCACCAAGAGAAGAACCTGGAAAAACATGTATCTTATTCAGATCACACACACAAACACACAATACATATACAGATACACACAAGTCCACAAAAAAACATTTTGATTGCCGCAGTGAACACTCACATATAGCCCACAAAGACCCATTTCTCGCATCTGCTTCTAGCGCCATTGTGTGTGTGTTATTGGGGCTGTACGACGCACTCAGCTGCTGAGGCTATATGGCGTCGCCTGCCTCTCACCCTGGCAGGAAGGGCGGGCACCGCGGAGAATCGAACCCCGTACCTCTGGTTTCCCAGACGCGCAATGGCTAACGCAGACGCGTTAACCACTACACTACCGACACCCTCTTCTAGCCCGATTTCAACACTTCACACACATTTGGATCTACCAGCAATATGCTGTGATTCTGGATGCATTTGTGTATTGGTGTTCTCGGGCGCCGACTGCAGTGGTCATTTGGCGTCCATTTCTGAGCACACTAGCGACAGTTATACCGTGCACTGTGGAGGCTAAACGAACGTAAAAGGTAATGGAAAAATGCTGCTGAGGCATTCACGCACGATAACATCACAAAATACACCCAGACTGGAAATTCGTTTAGTCGATAAATGAATTAAAAGCTGGTGAACTAATAATCACAGCAAAGGATGCAGCAATAGGGCAAATTCGGGAAAATTTAGACGTCGTCAATAAAAATCTGGACCACACGACAGCGTATAATCCCGTGCTTTCGGTCAATCGAGACCATGCCAGGAACTGCTGCACTGCATGCGCCACGATCTGCAGCTGCCACTCCCTAACATGCACCCGCGAAGCGGGCGGGGCAGTGGACCTCGGGCCATCGTTCTTCAAGTTACTCATAACGAAGAAACTGGCATATCTGATTTCAGTGTATTTCCGCACAAAAACCTAACGCTTTGTTTCGAAGAAGACCTAAAACGGTCACAATTTAAGTTATTGTCCAGGAAAGTTCTAGGTACACGAGGTCATGGGGTCAGAACATGGACAGCCAGACTAGCGAACTATGCTTCGTAACCTGATTTGACTAAGACAGCTTTGACCAGCGGTCGCCAGAATTGGACAAAACAAAGTTCCTCACCGCATGTAATATTTGTTCATGGACCACACTGGACCACGCGGCATGTTTTATTTGTCCCAAATATTGTTACTCAAATTTTTCATTTCAAGGGTCTTACAGGCGACAAATTTCGCCATTCCTTTCGAAGACCGTTAATGTTCAAAGACCTTCTGGTAAGTGTTAGCAGTATCATATCTAGAGTTTTCCAGCCGCGAGTCAACGGCCAAGTGATATCACTGATTCACTACAGCACCAGAGTGCATGGAAACTAGAAACGCGATAATGCACTCTACAAAGCATATCCGTAAGCTGTTCAGCTCATACACAAGGCTGGCTTCGGGGGACGTAAACACAACACGATCGTGTGCACACCATGTGAGGGCTTACATGCTCACATGCTTACATGCTCGAGATATCACGGCAATGCAAATGCTCTACCACTGATCAAAAGGTAGATTTGAGCAACTTAGCGTGTCGAAACCGAATCAGTTAAACGACAGACCGCGCATCCATTCTTGGAAGTATCTCACGATGACGTGAAGGAGATGATGTAAGTCACCACTTCCACTGGAAATGCTGATGAATGTTTTCGAACTGGGGGGGGGGGGGCAGGGGGAGGGGGCCACTGGCGCTGCACGTTCCACTTCTCTCACTCACCCAAAGTGTGACATTGCAGGCGATGAAGAAGCAGAAGCCGTAGAGCCCGGTGAGGCCCAGGATGCCAGCCGTCGAGCCGCCCAGAGCCGCCATCGACGTACGGCAGTACTCGATCACGGCCGAGTTGCTGCGCACCGCCATGTCGCTGTACATCAGCGCGTCTGTCGGCGCAAGCGTCTCAGTGAAACGACGGTTGCTGGGCGCCCAACGCCGGCGGGTGGCTCAGGTACAGCTGCCTCCTCAAAATGAATGCTGCAAGCATCTCACTGGGGGAAAATAGTCATGCAATAATTTAAGCTGGTGTGCTGCTACCATGTATTGCATACCACATTATCCATCTCAAAACAGAAGGATAGCTGCCTCACTGTTGTCCCTATGCACATATCCTTAGCGCTGTATGTAAGCACACATAAAGAAACCATCATATCTGATTTTGGCTATCCAGCCTTGTAATCCTACACCCAATTGTGTGCTCTCACCATTAGAGCTCTTGTCAACCTTTGCTCGGATCTTGTTGCTAGTCATACTTGTTGGTTGAGTTAGTTGACTGGTGCAATAAATCTGTGAACATAGGATCCAATTAGCTGGAATTCTGATCATGTTTCAAAAGTTTGAAATCAAATACCTCCAGCAACATGACACAATCACAGACAAAAACATGTAATCTATGGTTCATCTCTGACCGAGTTCTCACTCTGTCTCCTGGTTCCGAGCAGATCACTTGGTGGCAAAGGGTTGGACAAGCATGCATGGTATATGTATATGATGACACACAAAGGCTGCACTAATTCCTTGGAGTTGGAGTATTGTGACACTATTAATGAAGAGAGCAATGTGAGAGGGTGAACCATCAGTTTCATTTGTGATGATGCAATGTAATGGATGCTGTAGTGTTTGAAGATTTTGCACATACCAGTGTGCACATAGGACTTTCCTTGAGGACATCTTAAAGCTTTGAAAGAGTCTCATTGGTGTCTAGAGCACCACTCAAAGTTCTGCACGAAACTGACTTCTACCTCAAAAAACTGGTGTGCATTATCATTTGTAAAGAAAATGCTGGTATGTTCATTTATTGCACATAACATTCTTATGAGATCAAAGGCTTCTATGTTACATTAATGCTACACAGCAATGCTTTTGCTTTAAAACCTTACACACATTGTCAATCCCACTGTGATAACTTATACATAGCATGACTTCCACTCAAGATCCATGCACAGCAGTAGTACCCACCACAAAACACTCACTTCAAGACCTTCAAGACCTAACTAAACAAAAACCCTTACTACAGACAGCACAAAATTGGTATTCTTCAAGTACTTCACCTTTTTAAGAAGAAGAAAAATCTCCACCGCGAGCGTTTTACGCGCAGTGCGGCACGGGCTCAACCAGCTCGCGTTAGCAGGATTGCCCGACTTTGAAATCATACAATCCAAACGACATCTTTAGCACCAAAAATAAAGAGCAGGCAATTAACATTATACACTACGTCGTTTCGACCACTGCTACTCACGATGCTCGCATGATTGCCTATCATCTTCAAGAAATAACCATCTGATAATATAATAATTTCGGCCACAAACAGGTCATGCGATTTTTAACACGCAGCCGACGATTTATAGCATGTACTAAAAGGGCAACATCAGCACCAAATTACGTACATTCGAGCAATTAAGAAAAGTATCCCAGTTCTTCACATTCGTGTCTCGAATTGATATTTCCAAACAGACAGCACAGAGAAAACCCAACAATGTCGGCGGAACTGAAGCATTTCCAGCAGTCTTAAAAAACGGACCAAGCCACGGGAACCAAACACCGAAGCCAAGCCAACGTTTTCGGTACGGTACATTGACGTCTATTAGCGCAGTGCATCTCATACACGAGTCCGGATAATGTGATTCACACTGATTAGGACCAAACACATCGTGACGACATTGTCGCTTAAACTACAACACTTGGATTCAATTAATATGACTACTCCGTTTGCCGTGACATGCTGCCATCATGTCGTGCAGAGGGACTGTCGTAGTACCCTCTTAAAGTAGTGCACCTCTTGTACAATTCCAACGAGCAAGGCTTGAAATCGCTCTGACATCCAGAGACATACTCTGCCGAGATAATATGCCAACAGCCACCCTAAGGAAACGGATCAAGCCTCGGGAAACGAAGACTGAAGCAAGGCCAGCGTTTTCGGTGCGGTACATATACGTCTGTTAGCGTAGTGCATCTCACACACGAGTCCGGATAATGCAATTCACACCTTTAGAACTGAACACGTCGTGCTGACAATGTCGATGGAACTGCAAGACTTCGGTCCGATGAATAAGACTCATGCATTGCCGTGAGATGCTGCAATCATGTCGTGCAGAGGGACTGTCGTAGCACCCTCTTAAAGTAGTGCACCTCTTGTACAATTCCAACGAGCAAGGCTTGAAATCGCTCTGACATCCAGAGACATACTCTGCCGAGATATTATGCCAACAGCCACCCTAAGGAAACGGATCACGCCCCGGGAAACGAAGACTGAAGCAAGGCCAGCGTTTCGATACGGTACATATACGTCTATTAGCGTAGTGCACCTTACACACGAGTCCGGATCATGCGATTCACACTTATTAGGACCAAACACATCTTGCTGACGATGTCGGTGGATATGCCAGACCACGGTCCGATGAATAAGACTCATGCATTGCCGTCAGATGTTGCCATCATTGGCGGACGGACTGCAGTAGCGCCCTCTTCAAGTAGTACACCTCTGGTATAATTCCAATTGGCGGGACCTAAAAACCGCTCTGACATCCAAAGACATACTCTACCGAGATAATATGCCAATAAAAATCCTAAGGATACGGACCAAGCCTTGGAACCGAAGACTGAAGCTAGGCCAGCGTTTTCGGTACGGCACATATGCGTCTATTAGCGCAGTGCACCTCATGCACGAGTCCGGATCAGGCGATTCACACTTATGGAAATTAAACAGATCGTGCTGACAATGACGGTGGAACTGCGAGACTTCAGTCCGATGAATAAGGCTGATGCATTGCCGTGAGATGCTGCCATCATGTGCGGACAGGCTGTAGTAGCACCCTCTTACAGTAGTACACCTCTTGTATAATTCCAATTGGCGAGACCTAAAAACCACTCTGAAAGGCAAAGACACACCCCGCTGAGATAACATCCCGACACGAACCCTGAGGAACGAAGCCAAGCCCCGGGAACCGAGGACCGAAACAAAGGCAACGGTTTAGGTACGGTACATATACGTTTAGTCGTGCGGTGCACCTGAAACAAGAGCCCTTACAACGCGATTCACACTAAGTAGAAATAAACACATTGTGCCGACAATGTCGGTTGAGCTGCAATGGTTTGATTCAATGAATAAGACTCATGCACTGTCGTGGGATGTCACCATCATGTGCGGACAGACTGTAGTAGCATCTTCTTAAAGTAGTGCGCCTCTTGCATAATTCGTTGGCGAGGCCTAAAAACCGCTTTGTCATCCAAAGACACACTATACCGAAATAACGTATCAACAGCAATTCTAAGGGAACGGACCAAGCCCCGGAAACCGAAGACCGAAGCGAGGCCAACGTTTTCGGTACGGTACATATCTATTTATAAGCGCAGCGTACCTTATACCATCGTCAGCAAGATGTGTTTAGTCCTAATAAGTGTGAATCGCATGATCCGGACTCGTGTGTGAGGTGCACTACGCTAACAGACGTATATGTACCGTACCGAAAACGCTGGCCTTGCTTCAGTCTTCGTCTCCCGGGGCTTGGTCCGTTTGCTTAGCGTGGCTGTTGGCATATTATCTCGGCACAGTACGTCTTTGGATGTCAGAGTGGTTTCTAGGTCTCGCCAATTGGAATTATACAAGAGGTGTACTACTTGAAGAGGATGCTACTGCAGTCCGTCCGTCAATGATGGCAACATCTGACGGCGATGCATGAGTCTTATTCATCGGACCGAAGTCTTGCATATCCACCGACATCATCAGCAAGATGTGTTTGGTTCTAATAAGTGTGAATCGCATGATCCGGACTCGTGTATGAGGTGCACTACCCTAACAGACGTATATGTACCGTACCGAAAACGCTGGCCTTGCTGCAGTCTTCGTTTCCCGGGGCTTGGTCCGTTTTCTTAGGGTGGCTGTTGGCATATTATCTCGGCAGAGTATGTCTCTGGCTGTCAGAGCGATTTCAGGCCTTGCTCACTGGAATTGTACAAGAGGTGCACTACTTTAAGAGGGTGCTACGACAGTCCCTCTGCACGACATGATGGCGGCATCTCACGGCAATGCATGAATCTTATTCATCGGACCGACGTCTTGCATTTCCATCGACATTGTCAGCACGACGCGTTTAGTTCTAATAAATGTGAATCGCATTATCCGGACTCGTGTGTGAGGTGCACTACGCTAACAGACGTATATGTACCGTACCGAAAACGCTGACCTTGCTTCAGTCTTCGGTTTCCGGGGCTTGGTCCGTTTGCTTAGCGTGGCTGTTGGCATGCTATCTGGGCGGAGTACGCCTTTGGATGTCAAAGTGGTTTCTAGGTCTGGCCAATTGGAATTATACAAGAGGTGTACTACTTGAAGAGTGTGCTACTGCGGTCCGTCCGCCAATGACGGCAACATCTGACGACAATGCACGAGTCTTATTCATCGGACCGAAGTCTTGCATATCCACCGACATCGTCAGCAAGATGTGTTTAGTCCTAGTAAGTGTGAATCGCATGATCCGGACTCGCGTGTGAGGTGCACTACGCTAACAGACGTGTATGTACCGTACCGAAAACGCTGGCCTTGCTTCAGTCTTCGTTTCCCGGGGCTTGGTCCGTTTGCTTAGCGTGGCTGTTGGCATATTATCTCGGCAGAGAACGTCTTTGTGTGTCAGAGTGGTTTCTAGGCCTCGCCAATTGGAATTATACAAGAGGTGTACTACTTGAAGAGGGTGCTACTGCAGTCCGCCCGCCAATGATGGCAACATCTGACGGCAATGCATGAGTCTTATTCATCGGACCGTGGTCTGGCATATCCACCGACATCGTCAGCAAGATGTGTTTAGTCCTAATAAGTGTGAATCGCATGATCCGGACTCGTGTGTGAGGTGCACTACGCTAACAGACGTATATGTACCGTACCGAAACGCTGGCCTTGCTTCAGTCTTCGTTTCCCAGGGCGTGATCCGTTTCCTTAGGGTGGCTGTTGGCATAATATCTCGGCAGAGTATGTCTCTTGATGTCAGAGCGATTTCAAGCCTTGCTCGTTGGAATTGTGCAAGAGGTGCACTACTTTAAGAGGGTGCTACGACAGTCCCTCTGCACGACATGATTGCAGCATCTCACGGCAATGCATGGGTCTTATTCATCGGACCGAAGTCTTGCAGTTCCACCGACATTGTCAGCACGACGTGTTCAGTTCTAAAGGTGTGAATTGCATTATCCGGACTCGTGTGTGAGGTGCACTACGCTAACAGACGTATATGTACCGTACCGAAAACGCTGGCCTTGCTTCAGTCTTCGTTTCCCGAGGCTTGATCCGTTTCCTTAGGGTGGCTGTTGGCATATTATCTCGGCAGAGTATGTCTCTAGATGTCAGAGCGATTTCAAGCCTTGCTCGTTGGAATTGTACAGGAGGTGCACTACTTTAAGAGGGTACTACGACAGTCCCTCTGCACATGATTGCAGCATGTCACGGCAACAGAGTAGTCATATTAATTGAACCCAAGTGTTGTAGTTTAAGCGACAATGTCGTCACGATGTGTTTGGTCCTAATAAGTGTGAATCACATTATCCGGACTCGCGTATGAGATGCACTGCGCTAATAGACGTCAATGTACCGCACCGAAAACGTTGGCTTGGCTTCGGTGTTTGGTTCCCGTGGCTTGGTCCGTTTTTTAAGACTGCTGGACATGCTTCAGTTCCGCCGACATTGTTGGGTTTTTCTCTGTGCTGTCTATTTGGAAACATCAATTCGAGACACGAATGTGAAGAACTGGGATACTTTTCTTACTTGCTCGAATGTACGTAATTTGGTGCTTATGTTGCCCTTTTAGTACATGCTATAAATCGTCGGCTGTCCGCGTGTTAAAAATCGTATGACCTGTTTGTAGCCGAAATTATTATATTATCAGATGGTTATTTCTTGAAGATGATAGGCAATCATGCGAGCATTGTGAGTAGCAGTGGTCGAAACGACGTAGTGAATAATGTGAATTGCCTGCTCATTACTTTTGGTGCTAAAGATGTCGTTTGGATTGTATGATTTCAAAGTCGGGCAATCCTGCTAACGCGAGCTGGTTGAGCCCGTGCCGCACTGCGCGTAAAACGCTCGCGGTGGAGATTTTTCTTCTTCTAAAAAAGGTGAAGTACTTGAAGAAAACCCATTTTTGGACCAACCAAGCATAGATGGAGAACCTCTGCAGATGATTATCAGGGAGATAATTATTTGTTGAACTGTTCCCCAGACCAAATGTGGCCCAAGTTTCATCTAAAAATGCAATGGCTGGAGGGGTTGCGGCACACCGACTATTTACGTCATCTTCTTGACATTCCAACATATGATCTAAAGCATATCCACACAGAACTAACCATCCAACCCTCACAGCTCCACTTAACCTCCTCCCGCTTAACATCAGGATCTATATTCAAGACGCCGAGGCAAGCCCTTAAATTACCGACAGCGCAGAGCACAAACAACAGCCACCTAATGTCAACCTTTTGTACGCTATCTTACTTGATACGGCCTTGATCTCACCCTAATATAACGTACCGACACCACTGGAGGACCTTATCCAGGGAACAAGTATCTGGCAGAATCCCACTCGGAAACCTTCGGCAAACTGGCGCAGAAATGCGCCATGATATAGAACTTACAATGCCGACATCAGCTGTTTGTTTTCTTTGACGCCACTCCAGCTAATGCTGTTGGAGCCAATGTTGACATTAGTATCTTTCGGTGCAATATAAATATCGAACATTATTGGAAATTGCGAGGATTGAGCTATAAGTAAAGCGCTAGAACTAGTTTCAAATGACAGTCATGGTCAGTTTGCCAGAAAATACTCGTATTTTGACCCCTGAGCATCAGTTGATTCCGAAATACCTTATGGTGCTCGGGAAATATAAAAGGCACTAGGCCTGTAGGTCCCGATCTCGTCAGGCTCCCGGTCCGGTAACCAGTCTCAAATTATGGGAAGGTTCAGTGTGGGACGTCATACACGGTGTCGACCAATACATATCAAGCCTAGACTTGAACTGTCCAACTGAGGTCGACGACATGACCGGGTGTGGAAGAGCGTTCCAATCGCTGACTACCCGCGTGCTGAATGAGTTATGACAGGCGAGAGTCCTAGCTCGAGGTTTTCTGAGCATCCATTGATGTCCTCTCGTCACCTCCGAGTTGTGCCTTGTCAGGAACTCCTCTTCCGGCAGCGACATACCCCCGTGGAACAGCTGGTACACCTTTACCATGTCTCTCCCACAACGACGATAGTACAGCGAGGGCAGCTGAAGGAGTCTGAGCCTCTCGGGGTATGGCTGGCGCCTCACTTCTTATACAAGCCGGGTAGCCCGTCGCTGAACCCGTTCCAGCCGCTTCTGGCCAAGTTTGTCGAATGGGCCCCAGATGACGCTGCCATACTCTAAGTACGGACGTACTAAGGTCTTAAAGAGCAATGGCAACGTGCGAGCGTCGATGTTGGCAAAAGACCGCCTCACGACCGCCGGCATTGGGTTGGCCTTGGAGATCGCTTCCACCGTCTACACATGGAACTGGAGCCGGTAATCCACGAAGATCGCGAGGTCCTTCTCGGTGAACTCGACCGCGATTTCGGCGCCGTCCAAGAAGTACGTCAGCCTCGGGTTGCAGTTCCCGATGTGCATTATTTTGCACTTCGCTGCACTAAAGGGGAGCAGCCACTCCTTTGACCACTTGGCCAGGGCGTCGAAGTCAGCCTGCAGAGGTGAGTTAGTCAGGGGCCTCGGGACACGACAGATGACCTTGGTGTCATCCGCAAACATCTCGACCACGTTTCGCACTTGTTCTGGCAGGTCGTTCACGAGAATTATGAACAACGTTGGTTCAAGTCCTGATCCTTGCGGGATGCCGCTGACGACATCGGTCCAGTCCGACTTCGAGTCCTGGGCCCGCACTCGCTGCCTCCGGTGGGTAAGAAAAGCCCTGATCCAGCGTAGCAAATTATCTCTCACACCGTAAGCATGAAGCTTGGAAGCAGACGGTTGTGAGGCACGGAATCAAAGGCTTTGCTGAAGTCCAGGTACGCCACGTCCGCCGGCTCTCCATCCTCTGCCGCGGCGCTCCATTCCTCCATGACCCGTAACAGCTGGGTGATAAGAGACCGCTTAGGGAGAAATCCATGCTGGCTGGAAATGCGGCTTTTCCATACAAAAATATGGTGATGGCTACTGATATGAGTCTGAATCAAGGCACGATACGTTCCAACCATTTGAAATAGTCAAAACACTAATTTTAGCGCTATGTGTGAAACGTGCTTATCTCGGGCATGTGTATATCTGCGTCAGCGAGTTGCGGTATCATGATCATGAAGTGCCCTCTATAGCAGCAGCGACCTCTATAGAGGACACTACTGTAGAAAAACTTTTCTCGCTGAAACACAAATGGAAGGGCCCATCATGATCCTGTCATGACCAATCGTTATATGTCGGAAGCACACGTGACAGGGCGCGATCAGACAGAATCGGACGTCACCGACTGTGGTCGAAAGGAATCGGACGGGACAAACACCATCAGCCGGGACTAGTCGAAACCGGGTAGTACAGCACGAGATCAGGCGGGGCTGGATTAAGCATGGCGCTATCAGACCGAGCAGGATGAAACCAGACAAATTTTGAGGTGACTTTTAAGAAAGCTGCTACCAAACGCCCAAAGAACGACGCTGAAATAAAGTCTTCAACTGTTTTGCAACATCACCTGGCTCTCATCGGCTGCGCGGCGGCACGCAGCTCTGGTATCTCCGGTGTTTTACGTTGGAGAGTGGGAGGGCAGTGGGGTACGAGAGCGGCCGCAGAATGAAGGATGGCGTCTGTCGTGCAAATACGCTGGCAGTGAGCCTGAGTGTGCATTACGAAGTCCTGGAAGCTCCCACATTACCTGAACCCACTCCAGAGACAAAACTATGGTACTTGATACAGGGGCGGATCCAAGATTTCGTTAAGGGGATCACGCAACATTGTAAGGCCCTAGTTGTTTGATGCCCCCCCCCCAAAAAAAAGCACTCGCATTCATGCCATTGAATTTTAAGATAGACAATATATATATATATATATATATATATATATATATATATATATATATATATATATATGGGGGGATGCGGATGTGCGGGTGTTGATAGATAGTAAAAAGCAAATACCGGACACCCACCTTACTGTGCGCAGCCCAAGAAAGCTGGGCACGCTACGCATGAACATACTTGAAGCTCATTCATTTGCTCCAGATGATGGTGAGTCCTGTCATTTTAGGTTAAGTATGTCGGAAAAGCAGGCTAAATGAACTAAGGTTAGATGCTAAATATCATCAAAATAAACAGGAGCATAGTTATCAGCTTATTTTCGGCTAGCCGGCTGGTGGATGTCATCAGCTGATGGTTCATGGTTAATACAGAGTTTTTCCTTCGTTATAAAGGAGTGCAAGATATCCACAGCATTCAGATGTACTAAGTATATAACACACATGCATGATAAGTGTCGCGCGTTTAATACCCAGAGGAAATGACACATAAGACGTCGGTGGCACGTAAAATTGTCTTCGACATTTGCGCGTAAAAATTCATCGGCGCATATCCCGCTGCTGCCTTAGGCTGAGACACCAAAGCCAATTGGGACGGAACTCGAGCGATCATGCGTACCGCGGGGGTCATAAAAGAGGCTGCCGTTAACTAGTATAGGGTCCGCGAGCAAGCGAGAAGAAACCAAGACTAACGTGGTTGGCCCCTGAACGATCGGTTGTGCCCGGGCAGGCCAACACCTAGGATCCCGGCCAGAGCGCAGGGCCCTCTGAGCAAAGGAAATTTTTCGAAGACCAATGTAATGAATCAATATTCTTGAGCAATCACCAATGCCCGGGGAAGATAAAAGAAAGAGTCCCTGTAGAAGAGAAGGGTTCTCAGCAAATGAGATTAAAGGGAAAGAGCCCAAGCTCAAAGTCAAGAGGGCCCCTGAGTATCGCGTGGCTCAGTACCTTACCTTGCATGAGCCCTAGGAATTGCACGACTCAATCCGAGCAAGAAGAGAGAACCCGACAGCAATGTGAAGGGCCCCTGAGCAAATAAGTGTATCCTGGCATATGGGGCCCCGGGAAAAGCGTATAAAGCCTTTCGAGTGGGGAGAATCCGTGGCGGAAAACCTGACCGATCAGTAGTGCGCAGACATGTGAGCAGATAGTGTCCCAACAGTAGCGTAGGCCCCTACGAGAAAGTGCAAAGATATCAAGAACAGCGTAGAAGTAGACATATAGCACCCAGGCAACAGCGTTAGGCCTCTGGACAACGCAATGAGCCCCCAAATTTCGCCCAATCAACACCTTTATCAGCGAAGAATTAACTTTGCCTGCTTATGGGCTCTTCACTTTTGCTTACAACTGTGCTTGTTCGTCTGCGGCCCAGGTACGTCCAATTTTGTTCTGATCTGGTGTTGAAAAACTGCGTCCGATCGGCCGCTTATGTGCTCTTTTGAACCCTATGCATCTCCTCAGGACACGCGGAGACATGGTCCCGTGCCCTTCCCCCCCCCTCCCCCCCACACTGTATCCGCCACCGGCCTGAGTAGCTTAATAGATGGGCCCTGTCAACATAGGCATACGAAAGTTTCAAAAAGTGGGGGGTGGCCAAGCTCAGGGCTTACTTCAGGAACTTTTTCTGGAAAACAATCCCGATGACCGGGGGGGGGGGAGGGGTTAGAGATGGAGGTCATTGCTTTTTATTCAAATGTAATAACCGATATTCTAGATATGTATCTAGAGCTGTTTCTCACTGATGCACAGCCTTGCCTATCCGAATCATCTATGCTATTCGACAAACAAGGCTATCTAGCTCCCCAAGATTATTCGTCCATTTCAACGTTGCCTTTTCTAGGGAGGTGAAGTCCCACGAGCGGGGAGGCATTTTGGTTCATTGAGGAGGCATCTGTCTCCACAGGGTAGATGCCCAAATATGGCCTACGCAAAGGCTGGTGGGAATTTTGAAAGTGAATCGATGGCTCACAGAACAAAAGATTTTGCATGCGCCTGCATTTCACTGGCTGCTTTTCAAGAGATAAGACTTGTCGAGGCATTTTAGGCGGAAACGAATTCGGAAGCTTGAAACGGCCAAAAACCACGTGACAAAAGCCAGAAAACTGGAGATTCTCCTTTGAAAACCAATCCGCAGAATGAAGGCCCTTCTGTCATACATTCCTTGTCTGAGCCCTGCTCCCGTCCACCGTCGGTGGCCACTGTCCTTGCCTGGCTGTCTCCGAATGGCTGACCGCGAACTGATGGCATGGCTGCTTTGTTGCACATTTGTAGATCAACATTGCTACCAATTGGGTGTGAAACATGTGTTGGACATCTGCAACAGTACCTCTTTCCGAATTACCTTCCCTTACACCACACCACCCGAGAAAAATGACCCCGGAAAGATGCCTACCGTAGGTGTGAATTGGCCCAACGGACATTTAATTACCCGCCATTAAATGCAAATGACTTGATCTGCTTTTGTGTGTAGGCAGGGGGTAGCCAGAGTCTTGCTAAGAGGAATTCAGGGTTGACAAAGGCCCCTCTTATGGTGGTCTCCCAAAATTTCCGGATGTAGTTTAC